CCCGCCGCCCTGCTCCCGCTGTTCCTCCCGGTAGCTCCCTTGCTGAACTCTCTCCCACACTAAATGCTCCCGCCGTTTTCGCACACATCTCCTGAAACAAGGGCTGCAGCTAAGCTGGCCTAACAAGAGGCGGAGAGGCAGTGACTCTAGAGCGGACGAGGCCATCACACTCCCGTTCCCAGGGCCTGAGCGGCAGGGGCTCTGGCGAGGCTCAGTCTCACTCACCCCTCACCACGCGGGCGCGGGCGCTGCTCTGCGAGCTTGGGGGATTGCCCGCGGCCACACGTGCAGGGCTCCCACATCAACCATGGTCACGGCTAAGGACCTGCGGGGAGCCCAGCTCGTTCGAGCCTTTAGGAAGTGGGGCTCCTGCAGGACCTCCCCGTTTGGCTCGGCTGCGGGGAGGACTCCTCTACCCACGTTTCCTGTGGCCTCTTCCTGCGGCTCCCACGCTGCTTCACTCACCCAAGGAGCTCTCGCCCCACAGTTGCCAGGGAAGGTCTATTGTATGCCGTGTGCCAGGTGCTGGGCTCAGCCCCGGGGAGCCTGTTTCAACTTCAGAAATGGACTCGATGGGGGCCATTCCCCTGACTGACAAGCTTCCCACAGGTCACCTCTGCAGAGGCCTGCTGACTGTGGGCCATCCCTGCTGGGCACTCCGGGGTGCAAGGGGTGCCCAGCTCAGGACACTTCCCGCTCTCAGTGGCACCCCTGACAGGTGTGCTCAACCTAAGAGAGTAGGACATATACATTCGGATCTAGGAAACCAGGGTCACACCTGCCCAGGATGCCAGTCTTTGAGACTTAGTCCAAGTTTCAGAGACTTGAAATGTTTCATTCTTTCACTTTCTTGCTTAACTGCGACCCTAAAGAGTTCAAACCAGCATTTCCGTGGGCAGAGGAGGTGATAATTAATTTATATTCCAAGAAGAATTTTAGAAGTAGGCTCTCTTGCTGCATTTAAAGTATAATTTTACTCACTAAAAATTAGGTTTACACGTGATATTTACTGCATATAACCCTGGGTAAGTAGGTTGACAACTTCATTTGTTTTTTACTATCTTCACAGAAATGATAGACAAAGTGCACTAAAAATATCAGGGCAATGGGGACATAACCACAGATACTGTTGATTTAAAACAAATACTGCTTTTTAAATTACCTTTTTCTAATTTATGCAAAATTGGTACTATCCTTGTATTCCAAAAGATATCGTCTACTTCCATTTCTGTATCTTTTTCTTGCAAGTCAGCTCTTGAAACTGCAAAACAAACCCAGAGCAGGGGGAAGAGCATTGAAAAGAGTTATAACTGGAGCACCATCAAAAGTATTTGCTACTTATCACTAAGACTAATAAACTCTAGAATTAAATTATGCTTTGTCCCCCAACTAGCACTGATTAGAACTACATGTCTTCCAATCAAATCACTCCAAATTAAACTCAGATATGATCATGGAAAGGCATCAGAACTTAAAACTCTGATTGGGATACTTCATGAAATCTTAGGCTTTGTAAAGCTGAAATTATTGTCAGTAAGGCAAACAGTTTTGAATTATTTTTACTTAAACTTATCCCTCTGTAATGCAGAATAAACCTTTAAAGAATAAAGATTTTGAAAATGTTTAATGAAAGTTTTCTAACAGGGAGGCCTGCAGGGATTTTCTGTCCTATATAAAATAAAGGGGTCCAGGTGATTTTGTAGGGGGTGGGGCGGAAGCCTGGGCTTTGGGTGCTGACAAATCTCCATTCAAATTCCAACTTCATGACTGATGCTTTGGGTGACCAGGGGCCGATTTCTCATTCTTTCTGAGCCTCATCAACAAAATAGAGATTAGGATATTTGCCTTCAGGGTTATGTGAATTAAAAGACACGACACAGGCAAAGCTCTGAGCCCAGTGCCCAACATCTAATAACACTCAATAAATAGGAATTTCTTTCCCTGATTAAAAAACAAACAGGCCACCATGTCGGAAGTGTATCAGGCTGTATGATACACCAAAACACCAGGCTGGATGCTGCCCGGGGGTGCAGGCTATGGAGAAGGGACAGCTACCATTCACTGTGTACTTTGGACACAGTAGGCCCATCTTTAATTTCTGTAACAGCATGATGAGGAGGTTCCCAAATTGTCCCCATTTTCCAGATGAAGAAAGTGGGGCTCAGGGGTCTTAAGTTACCTGCCCAAGGTTAAACAGCGCCACGGTCTTTGCACTTGACCTCTATGCTATTCTGCCCTGCCATAAATCAGCAAACTAAAAGGTAACTTTGAGGGGAAATGCAAATCATATTAGAAACTGTAAATCATGATTACACTTCATACAGGAGCTATCTCAAGGTCTGAGACAGTGACAGTCTAGCGGGAGGAAGCCCCACTGTGCAGGGCTCTGAGCAGCAGTGCGGGAAGGATATTCATCATGGCCCTTCTCAGAAGGGGCAGCCCGTCTACATTGGATCAGGATATCTGTGCTCTCCCAGGGTGTACCCGATACCAATTAAATGACCACACAGTGGATGCCTGGACCCTAAAAATGTCACAGGATGAGTTAGAAACCATAGGGACAATGAGAGAGTTCCAGAGAGAGAGAGAGCATTGGAAGGTGTGTAGCTTGTATACATTTAGGTTGTTTCAACTACAAAACAGACAAGCTGACTGAGGAGGCCCATTAGGAGCACAGGTTCTAGAGTCCCTGTCTGGGTTTGAGTCCTAGCTCTGCCACCAACCAACTGGTGGACTTTGGGCAAGTTGATTCACTTTTCCTCTGTAAAATGGGATGGTGATGACAATGGTCATCTCAAGTATTGGGACTATGGGTCATTAATTTATTTTATGTGCTCTTTTGTATTTCCCCAAACCACTAATATGCTTGTATTACTCGTGAACAGAAAATACACAATGCATATTAAATTTCCCATGCATGCTGCGATGATGGGGAGAGGCAGGCCTCCCTGGGGCGCCCCTGCTGCAAGCAGCCACTCCCAGCTGCAGGGGGTCCAGGCTCCCCTTTCAATAAACCTTCCCAATGCCAGGAGGGGCTGGTGCGAGCTGGGCAGGAAGGGCGCTGAGCAGCGAAAGTAGGCAAAAGGGGCTGTCGACAAAGCTGCAGTTGAACAGCGTGGGTGCTGTCAATGGTTTTAACTGCAAGGTTTCACACACTCTGTCTATCCCATAAGCACGAATTCACCATAAAACACATGGCTGAACTGGGCAAAGTGAGTTCGTATCAGTACAGGTTCACAGCCCCTTATCCAAGCCTTTGGGACCAGATGTGGTTTGGGATTCAGAAGATTTTGAGATTTCAGTAAGGCCGCATGGTGCATACACCGCACATTACATACCACCCCAAGTAGGGCCTTCGGGGGCAGCCACCCTGGAGCAAAATATGTGACTATTCACACTAATGAAACAAAGATGCTATTGGCCTTGGGTCAGTACAGGTCAGGCATTGTCACTGAAGGAGTTCGAAAAATATTTCAGCTTTTAGAGCTTTTGGTATTCCAGAACGGCAGGTAAAGGATTGCAGACCGCCACCTCTATCTTTTGGGTTGTGACTTTTGTGAGTGTGCCCTGACTTTGATAAACTACGAATATGGATTCTAAAAGTAAACATGACTATTCAGGCAGTGTAAGAAACACAGTTGTTCACATTCCCAGGTATGGGGCATCTTCAAATCCAAAGTATATGAATAAAACCAACATATATCAAGTGGAAAGCCAAAAGATAATGTGAGACAAATAATTTAATCAATGACATTTATGACGCACTTACAAATTTCAAGTCCAGTAAGCTCAAATCAGCATTTTTACCTTCTATGCAATATGCTCTTTAATAGAATAGCTCTATGAGAAACCAGACTATCAACCCGTTTCTCAGGACAAACAAAACTGGTAACGTGTTCACCGCAGGAAGAGTGGAATTACAGGGCTGAGCCAGAAATCACAGAACAGTTTATTTGACCTTCAGAAAGGAAAGGTCCTCACAGGCCCTTCTGAATGTTTCTAGGATGTGTTTCTTCTCACAACAGAAGTCAGCCAGGCACTGTGGTATAAGGGTTTGCTTTCAACTCCCTCCTAGGGATCCCTGCGTGAGCAGTTGTCTCGGGCTACAGGCTCCCCACATCTTCACCCCTCACACGCCTCCTCCAGCTCTGCTCTCCACAAAAGTCCTATTTTACACACTAACTCAGTTTCTATTCTAGAAATTAAAGCATCGATTCACATGCTTACTTTTTAAGAGCCACAAAAAACAAAGTTTGTCTCGATCTTGGACAACAACCTGATATTTTAGAAAGCATTTTTATCTAGGTTTGCTAAATATAAAAATTATGATTCAACAGGAAATTGGGTAAGTCAAGCAGAAATTTCAGCATGTTTTTGAAGATTTTGCTGTCTCAGTGGTTATAGTTCTTAACCACAGCTTTGAGTTCTGGACACAAAAACTTGACACAATGTTTATTGGCTGATGTTTTTAGCATGTAAATGTAAAACCCTCAGCAACAATGCTGACATGAAAATCAGTCTAGCTAAGATTTCCCTATATAGAAATTCTCATTGGCCACAAAAGTCATTTTTAAGAAATTAGTTTTGAAGAGAATAAAAACATTTTTTGAACCTAATATTAGTTTGGTTTCATAACATTTCATATGTACAATAAAAGTATAAAGAATATAACACATGCCTGTATATCCAAAACTGCTTTGGTCAAATATGAACCATATTTTTATGCTCCTCATTTTAAAGAACCAAAATGTTACAGATACATTTGATGACCTCTGTGAGCTTCCCCCATCTGCTCCCCCCTCCCTCGCCCTCTGAAGGTTACCACCATTCTCAACAGGTGCTTATTTTTATCATGCTTGACTTTACATGTTTACCTCATAGATCTGCACCCATAAGCAACATATATTATTATTTTTGCAACTTAATTTTTCATGTAATGTTATATTTATACTCATTTCACTCAATATTATAAATGTAGTCTAGTATATTTTTCTAATTGCTGTATTCCATTGCCTGATACATTTTGTATCATTTCTAGTCTGTGATTTATATTGTTATATATTTTTCTCAGTTAGATAGTTTAAACACCTGGAAGATGTATATAGTTGATACGGTTTCATTTATATGAGTAATGATCTTGAAGTTTTGAACTCAATAACTATGTTGATGTCAAGTTTTGAAACTTTCCAAATGCTTTTACAAAACAATTTCATTAAGATTGAATCTATAGATATTTGAGCTGGGATAGTGGTAAGAATGGTAAGGCTGTTGTGAAAATAATAAGAAGTTACAAAAATAAATGCTGATGTGTGACCAAGTTGGACAAAATCTCTGGAGTTTTCAAACAGTGAGCCAACATCAGATATCTTCAGTGTAAACATTTTTTTCTGTGACTGGAGATGCTGAAGATGAAGGAATGCTGGGGACCTCTGGGGACACAAGCACCTCACCTGCTCTAGTTTCCAGCCTGCTCGGGTCCGAGCTGTTGGGGCACGACAAGGCCCGCGAGCGCCTCTTCCCCTGGTCCCTGGGAGGAAGAGGAACACACACAGCACTCAGCACAAAGACCGAAGCGTTTCTTTTTCTGAAGTGTCAAGAGTCGAAGAAACCACAGCGCATTGTTTATGAAGTGGGGTTTGGTAATCCAGACACTATTTTAATCAACCTCTGACTCCCAACTAAGATTTACCTTTTGAAAAGTCATATTTGCTTAACAATATGAAATACAGTTACTAGAAACAACAACAAAAATAAATCCAAAGTTTACTTTGCAAATCAAAAAATTGATTAAGGATATAGACCACAAGAGGTCACTGTAAGAATAAGAAAGAACTCTCCTATGCTTGAATCACAAAAGCCTAGCATTTATGAGCTGGGAGCAACCTCTCTCTCTCCAGATCCCCCCCCCAAAAAAAAATGTTCCCCAATTCATCAGATGCTCCCACGGTCACGCACAGAGCAAGGTCAGATCTAGAACCCAGGTCTTATAATTTCCAATTCACTGCTCTTTCCACTACATCACAGAATGGCCTGTTTCCATTTAAAAATTAAATTAATATTCTCTGAAAATCTTTTATTTTGAGACATAATTTATATTTATTTATTTATTTATTTATTTATTTATTTATTTATTTTTAAATACATCTCTATTGATTTCAGAGAGAGGGAAGGAGAGGGAGAGAGAGAGATAGAAACATCAATGATTGGAGAGCCATTGATCGAGCCCACAACCCAGGCATGTGCCCTGACCGGGAATCGAACCCCGATAGCCTGGATCCTAGGTCGACGCTCAATCCCGATCCTAGGTCGGGCTTGAGACATAATTTAAATGTTAAAAAATTAAAGGTAAATTCAGGCAGTCCTAGATGACAAATATTTTGTGTTCCAAATAAGAGAGTGATGACTCGCCAACAGCAGGATTATATACCTGTTTGTTTTTTTCTTAAGGTTACATTTAATATAGAGATGGTCTATGAGGATATAATTTCTCTTTAGCTGGAGCTGAAACTTAAAAGTACTTACTTTGAAATATCTGTACAAAACTCCAAGGCAAAAAAAAAACAACACTGAGAGAATAGTGAAAGTTTTAAAACAAAATTTTATTCATTAAATATAACACTTGCTATGAACGCCATAAGGAATGCATATACTTGTGGCTAGGGTTACCCATGAACATCCATATGTATGCCCGTTGCTCCTGCTCCCTGCGGCATGAGTTGCCCGGTGAATGTTCGGTGCTGGTCTTGCTTGACCTTTACTACTGCCCCAAGGATTAGCGTCTACAAATATCATTTTTTCCATAAATAGGTCCTTTTCCTTTAACACTTGATTTTATCATACAAGAGAAAAGATCAAGCTAACCTTCTAAAAAATATCTAATTAGTTAATACTCGGAAACAGTTGCTTCATTTTTATACAGGTAAAAACATAGATCTATCTGGTAGCAAGGTATCTCCCGCCAGTCAAACAAAGAAATGGGGATGAGGCCCTTTTTGTCCACACTCTCAGAGCTGAAATGTAAATGAAGCACATCTCAAAGAAGACAGGAAAGAAAGAAATCAACCCTGAGAGAAAACACCAAAAGTTAGGCAGGGTGTGAAACTGGAAGTTTCCATATTTATCACCCCTAGAAATAATAACAAGGCAGTGTGGAGACAATAGAGGCAAGGCCTTCTTTTCATTATTGTCCTAAACAGCTGTTGAAATCAAGCAAGATAGTTTTCAACTATTGGCCTTTCAAAGTCCCTGGTCTATCCTCCCTGAGGACATGGTCAGTGATGAGGTTGCCTTCCTAAACACCACATGTGTGTGCCCCCATTTCTAAGGGGGGAATAAAGGGTCCTCATTACAGAAGCTGGGCAGTGCTGGGCTACAGTGGTTCTCAAGAGCAGCACAGGCCTGGAAATGACCAATGCTGTGTACGACCATCATGGGGCAGGGACTGACGGTGCAGGCTCTGCACCCAAACTACCTAGATCCAAATACCGGGTCCAACACGTACCAGCTAGGTGCCCTTGGGCAAGTTACTTAACCTCCTGGCCTTGATTTCCTTATTTTAACATGAACGCAGTACCTCTGTTTAGTACAGTGATTGGTACATTTGAAGAACTTAATAAATCATCAGTATTACTTTTCTCTTCAGTTCTGAGTCAACAAACACCTGTCTGAGCAGTCCAGTGCTAGATGTTATTGTCATAAAGAACATATAAAGAGCTGCCCTAAAGAAGTTTAAAGTCTACTATGAGGAACTAAGGGACTTTTTTTTTTTTTTTTTAAATGGAAAATTCCAATCGAGTCTCTACACAAGTACCAGAATGTGAAACTCGGTGGGTTACAAGAACGAGAGGGATGCTGAGAAGGAAGTGAATGCTGAGAGGAAGACCAGGACCACAAAGTGGACCCTAAAAGAATAAAAGTTGAACCAGCAAATGATAAGTCTACTCTCAGGAGGGGAGTACCATGAGCGAAGGTAAAGAGGGGCCCGAGGAGCCCGGTACTCAGGGCAGGGAGAGTTGCACCGGGCTGGCAGGGTACGAACAGAAGATTTCTGCTGGGAGCCACTGGGAACGGCTGCCTGAAACTTTGGGTTGAGTCACTGGACCCAATTTAATGGGCAATGAGGAACTGTCATAGGTTCTTATGTAAGCCAGTGATGGGATTTAGAATCATGCAGTGAGCAGAATATTTAGGAGACTTGGAGAGAGGTTAACAAGGACCAACCCTGTGAGGGTGAGCGTGGGACTGGAGGAGAAAGAGCATATTCAAGGGACCCTATAAATGAAAAGCTGATAGGGTCCAGTGGTTGATTTCGGGCAGAAAAATAAACAGAAGGTAGACCTGGAGGAACAGGATAGTAGGGTTGTTAGCAACAAAAATGGGGAGTCTAGGGAGTAGAACAGTTAGAGGTGTAAAGTAAGTTTGGGTTTCGCCACATTGAGTTTCTGACGAAAATAGAGCACCTGCAATGGAGATGGAGAAATCGGGAACGGAGCTCTGTTAGGGATCCGCACAGGACCGGGGACCAGGGTCATCAGAAGACTGGCTCAAAGGCTGGATTTGCAGAACAAGCCTGTCAGATACTCATGGGGAAAGGGCAGAAAGGGGAAAGGGAGACAAAAGGAAGAAGAGAAATAAAATACGCTCTCATGTAGTCCAAGGATGTTGTGAAGACGAGCGTGATTAACGTGATGAGGGCTGAGGGAGAGCTGTCCAGTCTGGCCACGGTAATCCAGAAAGTTTGGGCTGAGTCAATGGTCTTAAGAAGAAAATCCCCTCTTTGCTGAAGAGGAGGAGACTAGATGGCCTTATACTCAATGGAAATCTGTCTTCCTGTAACCACTACCCGTTGGTCTTGGTTCTACTAATTGGAGCCCACATGAAACAAATCTTTACCCTTCTTCTTGGCAACCCTTCAAATACTTAATGGCGTTGTGCTCACCACTTAAAGCCATCTTCTATGACTTAAATCCCATGGCTCTACCACTTATTAGCTGTGTGACCTCGGATAAGTTTTTTACCTAAGCCTTGGTTTCCTCATCTGTGTAAGAAGGGGTGGTGAACAGCGGCACCCCTCCGTGTAAGGTTGTTATGAGGATTCAGTGAGATGAAGTGGATTTGCTTAGCATAGCTCCAGGCACATAGTAAGTCCTTAAGTGTTTACCATTATTGCAGTGCTGTCATTGATGTCATTAACAAATTTCTCCAGTCCCTTCAACTGCTTCTCGTTTGGTACAGTTTTTCATTTTCTTGCCAGCCTGTTCAGTCACCCTGAGTGTCGGTTTGTCTGGATCCCTTTTAAAGTCTGGAACCCAGCACTGAGCTAAACATATGGCGTGAGGAGCAAAGAGGAGATTTTCTAAGTAAGGCAGGCCTAAAACTGTATTAGTGGTTTCAGTGGTCACATCACAGTGTTGGCCAAGTCTTGTCTTTTCTTACACGAGGAGCCCATTCTTATTCACATTCTTAAACTCATTCTCATTGAATTTCAGTGTTATATTTGGTAAAGTGTTCCTGCCTATTGGATGGTTTTAGATCTTGATACAGTCATCCAGGGTAACTGCTCCTCCGCCCAGCTTCCTGTTTCATGTTGTTAAAGACCATAATTAAATTTTTTACAATGATTTTGATGTACCAAGGATAAAGCAATTCCAGAAATTATCCATTAAAACTCTTCTGTGAAATTCTTCTTAGAGGTAGAATAGCACCATTTTATTTGTTAAGATGGCCTCATCTACAAATAACAAAAACCGTATCCTAACTGACAATAAGTGAAATTTATTGGCTCATCTAACCCAGAAGTTGTGTGCTAGAGTGGGTTTCAGGCATGGTGTGATCAGGGTTTTAGCTCCATCTCTCTGCAGTTCTCTCAGGTTTGCCCTTTGGTCCCATCTGCAATCAGGTTGGAATTCTGAGGAAAGCAGAATGGGCTTGGCATTCCCAGGTTCTCATCAGCGGCCCACGTGTTTCAGTGCAAAAAGCAAGGTCTTCATTTCCCAGTCACCTGTCCAAGGTTCTCATTGCACTCTGAATGATGAGAACCGAACTCTGTAGCCAAGGCAATGCCATGCACAGACTGGCTGGTCAGGGCACATGCCCAGGTTGTGGGTTCAGTCTCCAGTTGGAGAGGCAACCAATTGGCGTTTCTCTCTCACATTGTTTCTCTCTCTCTCTCTCTCTCTCTCTCTCTCTCTCTCTCCCTTCTCTTCTCTAAAATCAATAACCATTGATTGGGTGAGGATTTTTTAAAAAGGAAATGATTTTAAAATGTATAAACAATTCTTAGCTCATGGGCTGTAAAAAGTATAGGTGTCTGGCCAGATTTGGCTCCTGGGCTGTAGTTTGTTTGCTCCTGCTTTAGAACAATAACTGGATATTAAGTCAACTAAATGAAAGAATTTGGAATTAAGGGGAGGTAAAAAAGATGAATTTATTTCTATTTGGGAAAAATTACATGTAAAAATGAAAAAGGAAATTTTAAAGGATGCTTATGATAAAAAGAAAACGTGGAAAATTTTGAGCTAAGCTTTT